AGAAAAGAACATCTTGTTTGGTAAAGAAGGTCAGTGAAAACAAGGGAGACCTCCATGAGATGGACTGGCGCAGGGGCCGCAACGCACGGCCTCAAACGCACCAACAGTGAAGATGGTGCAGAACGAGGCCATGTTTCGTCCCGGTATACACGAGGTCACCTTGAGTCAGAGCCAACACGATGACAACTAACAACGATCCCTGGAGCCCGTCAATGTTGCCTCATTTGTTGGACGATATTGTGATTGTGAAGAGTTAATAGATGGGGGAGATTACCCTGACCTGTAGGGGGAGTGGTCTAGGGGTTCCTAAACGCAGCCACAAGTAAGAGGGACAGAGGGAGAGTTAATACACATGGAAAAAGTGCTAAGAAGATGGAGCAGAGAGAAACTTAAAGACGTTGGGCTTGAAGGCGGGAGTGATCTGGCCACAGGCCAAGCAGTACTAGCAGCCACAGAGGAGGCAAAGAACAGGTTCTCCCCCAGCACCTCCGGAGGAGCCCAGCCCTGCCAGCGCCTGGATGTCAGCCCAGTGCTACAGACTTTGGACTCATGGTCTCTCTATAGAAGCTGTTGGAGTTTTAAGTTTTTGTTGTTTTAATCCCCAAGAGAACTGACAACATACGCCCACATACAAACTTGTACATAAATGTTCATGGCAGCATTATACTTAACAACCAAAAGACGGATGCAATCCAAATGTCCAGTACTTGATGATGAGATGAGGTGTTATTCAGCAGGGAAAGGCACATAGGACTGACCCATGACACAGATACAACAGGGATGAGCCCTGACAACAGCATGCTAAGGGAAAGGAGCCAGTCCATCAGGCCACACGTGACATCATTCCCCATTCACATGAAATGTCCAGACTAGGCACATCTATAGCAACACAAAGTGGACCAGTGCCCAGGGCTGGGGAAGGGGGGAAGGGAGACATGGGGAATGTCTGCTGGTACATGAGGGCTTCTTTCTGCAATGATGAAGTGTTCTAATACCGACTGCGGTGCCAGATGCACAGCTCTGGGACTATCCTCCCGTGTACTTAAATCGTCTCTAGGTGACGTATGGCACCTCAGGCAATGTAAACACCGTGTACATTGAGTTTGCTTTCTTGTAAATAGC